AGGTTTATGTTTGGATGTTTGTTACTCAATCACGACAGAACGGCTGAAAGGATCTGGATGCAATTTGGCACAGAGATAGAGTTTTTTGATGAAGAATTTGATGCTACTTCTTATCCCGCAAATATGTACATTTCCCGTAGGATAGATTTTTTTTGTTTTTTTAAAGGCAAATCCGAACAAATCAAGGGTGAGCCGCTACTAATAAAATATATTAGAAAAGCAATAGGCATTAGAAATTTCTTAATAAATAACATAATGGATGTCACAATAAACGACTTTCTGTACATTTTTCTTTTACATTACATTAGTTCGGTGAACGAATAAATATTGCTAGCGCTTTTATTTAGAATTTTCCATATGATATTTTACATTTTTACGGTATCTGGAAGATTGCCAAGCCGAGCCTAACTCCAGGCTTAGAATGAAGAACTGACGACAGAGGTCCAAACACAAACCTATTCATTACCTGTGTTGTACGAGATTTGGCTTTAACTGCTAGATATCGGCTTACTATTATAAGTGCAAAAGTCTATATGTATGTTTGTATGTTTGTAACTCCTCTACTCTCTGGATTTAGATTAAATTAGGTTCACATGTAGACTAAATAAATAAATATATAATTAACTATATATGTTGGGACATTGAGTCGTCTGTAATGCGCGCTAGGTAACGGACGCGCATTGCATTGCACACTCTGACCCGAATTTTTATTCGCGTACTGCGCGGCTTAGCCGCTGCCGGATAAAGCCGCTATGAGTTCCGAAAAACTCATAGCTAACGAGCTGTTGGCGTTTATACAGCACGCCATCGACTCTATGGACGAGGTCAGCATCATGCAGATCTGCAAGTCGAACTTTAAAGAAGAGGAGATTTGCAGGAGCAAGGTGCTGCTCTACGAGACTCTCGGCCAGGCCGACCGAATTCCCACTCGCAGAAGGGATGAAAAGGGGGAGAGAAGTCTTCAGGACATCATTAATCTCCTGAAGACAACCGATCCTGACGACGTGCCCGCCTTCGTGGCCAAGCAGCTGAACAAGCTGCCACCCGTCACATTCGATCACGTTGACGTCACCAGGCTGCTCAAGGATATCACCACCCTGAAAGCTGGCCTGGCAGAGGTGCAGTTTAAGTTAGAGATTTCCGAATCTACCATCAGTGAGCTGCGCGCAGAATTATTATCATTCAAAAGTAATGGTTCTGTAAGTAGGTCACCGGAGTTCACTAACGTAAACACACGTCGCGGCGCACAAATTGACTCCATCAGCAGTTTGTCGTCACCGCCGATTACTGCTGAGGTGCGCGAATCGCGCGACACAGCTACGCCTGCCGCCCGCTCCCCGGCCCCGCTGATGACGTCGAGTGCGAGCGCGGTCATGACCCCGCCGCGTGCTTACGCCGCAGTCGCAGCCGCGCCCGCCCCCACCGCTACACCCACCCCGCCAAGCAAGCGGCCCTCGAATGGAGGGAAAAAGAAGAGCCGGAGCAGACCAACTGCCAAACAGGTGCCTCCGTTGGGTTCCACAAAGAACAAATCTGACGAGGAGGGCTTCACTAAAGTGGAGAGGAAGAAGAGGAAGCCCTCATGCCGTAACATCTGTGGCACAGCTCCGAGCCAGCCAGACCATCCGATGCGCCCCGCCGTACCATCGACGCCGCTGTATGTGTCCCGATTGCACTGGTCTACGAAGGTCGAGGATGTCGTAGACTACGTCCAGAAGAGGTCCAACTTCAAATTGAGGGTTGAACGGCTGGTACCTCGCCACAAAACGAGTTTCAATTCGTTTTTGGTGAGAGTGCCGACTCATCATCTGCCAACCTTCATGAAGGAGGACTTCTGGCCGCAGGGCGTCGTATTTCGAAAGTTCCAAGGTCGTTTTCCCGCTGACACAGCTCACACGTCTGCACTTCGTGTGATTTAGTTATAATTAATATACATATATATGTTAGTTTTAAGATATATATTATGCTATGGGCCTCTGTTTACGTATTTAAGATCCTTATGTAAATATTGCCTGAAATAAATGATTAAATAAATTAAATAAATAAAAAATTAAATAAAAAATTAACACACAACACCATCTAGTTCCATGGTAAGCTACGAGGCTTGTGTTATGAATACCAGACAGTTATTACACTACAAATATAACTTGAAATACATACATATTAAAAATATGCCATACCCATGACTAGAGTAGAAACATTCATGCTCATCACACAAAGGAATGCCCCAGGGGAACTCGAACCCGCGACCGCTGGCACAGCAATTAGGGCCACAACAAACTCCGCCAAACGTGTGGTCAAACTAAATTATACGTACGTCGACTATACTATATGATATGACCTGAATTAATAAATATATAGGCTATTTTTAGACAGGAACGAATCTGAGTGAAGCAGGGTTAAGCTCTACCGGCTTACCTTGTTTTTGTACTTGACATACCTTGCGAAGTACACAAAGTAAATCGAACACCTCATTCTTCCTTACATTCTATCTAATTTCGGACTGCAAGAATGCATTTCAACAAAAATTATACTCATTAGTAGAACCTTTTTAACTAATTTCAAAATTGGTGTACCGTTTTGATGTTTTTTTTCTTTTATATGAGTACACAATCAATAATACTTATTCACTATCGTTCCAGCTGTCAATAAAAAATAAAACACCGTACAATTGTTGTTTACGGATCGTTCAAAGCGCGTTATTGCTTTGCTGTTTACGGCGTGCGAATTCAATTGCGCTGTAAAAATGATAGGTGTCTTAAAACAATGGATTTATGTGAAGAAAATATATTTTATTAATATTTTATACTGTTATAAATATTATTACATAGCTTGGTTAGGGATATTTTGACTTTGTTAAGACTTTTTTGGACAAATTGTATGTAAACTAGCGTTTTCCCGCGGCTCCGAACATACAATTATGTTTTTTTGAAAATTGTAGTCTAATTGTTATTATGATGTATTTAAAGCTATATTACTGTAAAGTTTCATCAAAATCCGCTTAGTAGTTTTTGCGTGGAAGAGTATCAAACATCCATCCATCCGTTCATTCACCCATCAATCCATCAAACATCATAAACTTGCGCGTTTATAATATTAGTAGGATGACTATTTTATCGGCTTACATTTAGTAAAATGATTTAGATTACCAATCACCTAAGATTTGTCTTAGTCTTTCAATAATACTATTTTTGACCAGTAGCTCCGCTCACATACTAAGCAAGATAAGTTATGAATCCCTTATTCATAACTTATTTTTATGTAATTTCCATTATCTAACTTTTTATAATGAAACACTTCGATTAACAATACTATGGAACCTATCTATGCCTAACTAGCGACTCAGCCTCGCGTCGCATCGGGTTCGTTCCTAGACAAAAACAAATTTATCCCACGGGACCCGTTTATTTTTCCGGGATGATATATAAGCCTTCCACAGTTGACGAGTTATTTAATGCAACATATTTTTTCAAATCGGATTAGTAGTTCCTAAGATTAGCGCTTTCAACCAAACAAGCAAACTCTTCAGCTTTATAATATTAGTATAGATAATAGAACTTGGATGCATGAAATCGGTATTACAGAAAATTATTGAAGGAATACTTCTATTTTCGTTACGTATGTTGTTTGAAACATAAAATTAGACAAGTACAAGTCTAAATCGCTCATCGACCGTTTCGTAGCATCAAGAAATTGTTACGTATAATTTTTTTATCAACACGTTTTTTTTTTCATCCCATATTTACCTACATATTTGAAAGCCGGCATAAAGTAAAATAGATAGGCAGTAAATGAGCATGTAACATATATTGCATGAATAAATAGAAAAATTGTAAAGAACACGAGTAGAAATTCGATACATAAACCCATTATTAATAACCTAGAAAACCTTTGTCGGATTTTTCATTGTAAGATGGTGCATCGAGAGACATTAGTATCAAACTAGGTATATTGTGTATGTACATAATATATTCAGTACTTTTTAACGTCCCACTGCTGGGCACGGGCGTTCCTTCAATACGAGGAGGATCAGGCCATAGTCTACCACGCTGGACTATGGCCTGGTATGGGTTGGCGGACTAGAAAACTATATTTTTTTTTCTAAGAAATATTTTGAACCAAATTTTTATCTTGTACCACATACCAGGGATATTGCGCTCTCCATCAAACTAATCGACATGATAAGCAACATGTAACGTGTTAGTGTTAGTTTTAATTCACCCTTCGAAATTGCATGTGCATTTTCATAATAATTATATAATAAAGCGAGAATTTGCCAGTGTATTAGTTTGGGATAATTTTGGTATACTATTATGTAGTTTGTTATTGCTTGTGGTTATTTCGTTCAGTACTTAAAGTATCTGTTTTGGTGAGGTTTCTATAAATGTTATTATAATTTGAGTAATATTTTTTCGAAGCCTCCGCTGTCCCTCCGTTCATCTCTCTGTCAGAGAGCTGTATCCCATGAACCGTAATAGGTAGAGAGTTGAAATTTTCACAGAGAGTGTATTTCTATTACCGCTATTGCAACAAATAATAAAAAACCAGGATGGCGAATTTCAAAAAGGCTGCTATGCAAATAAAAAAAAACAATTATGGTACAGAACCCTTCGTATGCGAGTCCGACTTGCACTTGAACTATTTTTTATAGTTTTTTTACTCCTTGGCCTTGCCTTGAATGAATCATGTCGATTATGCTTCTTTGTCCCATGCCTAGTTACTCCCCGGGACATGAAGGAATAACGATGATTTCACATTTTATAATATTATAAATCGTGTGCTTCCATAAAAACCGACTACAAAAAAACACTTCCAAGCACTAAAAAGTAAAAAATAACTGAACGGAATACATACATACACCTATAAAATTTTATTCATTTTATATTATATTTTGCAGTTCCAATATTATTACATACATACGTGTCAAATTCATAACCTCCTTTTTTTTGAAGTCGGTTAAAACGATATAAAAAAAAGTTATTTTTAAACAGCATACTAACCTTCAGTCATTCTTCCAAGATCAGGAGATAGCAACAATATTCTCTTATCAATTTCCCCTTCTATTTGAGGACTATCCTTCTTCACCGACTTCATTGCTTCATAGTTCATGCTATTTTTACATATCGGAGTTTTGTTGTACACAAGAAATTTAGTCAATTGATCCATTTTTGATTTTTATGAGATTTATTTACAATGACTCTATACAATGAGAAGGACCAATATATACCATAATGATTGACGATGAAATTTTGTCTGTACGTCTAAATGAAAACGTGTTAGACATAGATAGTTTGGTGATCAATAGCAATATGTTACTGGTACATGAAAATACTTTGTATCGCTCGATTTGGTAAATTTAAACAAAAGCTATAAAGATAAAACGGGGTGCAGGTGTGAGCAGCGCAAACGGCGGAATGATTGTGTGAAAGCCAACAATGTGACACAGAATGCTTATGCAAATCACAATTTACGTTATTCGTATGGGCGCTTGCTTAAATATTCACATGGAAATGGTACATTGGTGGTGAAAATTGATTTTGTTTTTTGTTTAGACATAATTTGTAGATAAAAATGTTTGAAGTATGCAAATTTTTCGTTAAGTTAACAAAAAATTTACAAAGTTGACTTAAAAATATTGTTGTGTAAAATTAGCTAAAATAAATTAATCTATCTTAATCATAAATGCTAAATAATATCAATTTAAGATTCAAAAGTAAGATTCAATATTTTAATTTCTTACACAACTTAAATATGCGCAAACCGGATTTGGATGAAACTTGGTAGATACATATTTTTAGTAGCAAATATACTTTTTCTCAATAATCATGGGAAAGAAAAAAATAGAACACTTTTCTCGTGGTTATAGCTGTCTGCAATAACTAGTACTATGTAAATAATAATAAAAACCACATAAACGTACATACAGAAGTAGCAACTATGTTTTATACTGTTATTATTCATATTCATATGTAATAGCTGCTAGCGGCTCACCCTCGTTTCGCATGGGTTCGCCTCTAGGTAAACAAAACAAACCTAACCCACGGGAACCGCACATTTTTCCGGGATAAAAAGTAACTTATATATTATCCCAGACTTTAATCTATCTCTGTGCCAAATTTCATCCAGATCTGTTCAGCAGTTCTGGCGTGAAAGAGTAACAAACATCCATACAGACTCACAAACTTTCACATTTATATTAAATATATGTAATACGGATGGATCTTCTTCTTTGTTTATGGTTTACATATTTATATATTAAATATTTGCTTAGCTATATGAATCGATATTCCATATTAATGTTCCGTATTGTAATAATGTTGAGGAAACAATAAATGACTTATCCCGTTCCTCAAAGTAAATCCGCGTCATAAGCGAAATGCGCAATCCCAAGCAATCTTAGCGAGATGTACTGTTGATGTAAGTTATTTATTTGGTCATGGGATAATACAAGGATATACCATAATCGCATCTATTTAGACCCTTTGCGGGCTCCCTACAAGGAAAAATACACTGAGCGACGTCCAATTTCAGACACTATTTCTTATCTCCTGCCCTTTCCCAGCGATCTTTTTTACCGTATAAATTAGTGTTATTTGTCATTCTTGCTTTTATTTTCCTTTGGTGAGAGCTGTTTTTAAAATTACTTTTTAACTAACAAAATAAACTTTAAAATCACTTTAAAACTATTTTTATTTTATTTTCGCCTTAACATAGGATTTTCTTTGAAACCTCCCTAATTATTTAGCCTATTTATTAAAGAAAAGAATATACTATGTACGTTCATAATTGGAACATATCGCACAATACACCTATCATAAAAAAACCATACACGCTTTCAATTAAAACAGCACTTTTACCTACTAAAAATATAGATTTAAACACACACACGTACACATTTATTCGTATTGGTAATAAAAACATTGATGCAATATTCAATAAATTTTAATTTTCCATTAAATTGTGTAATATAGAATAATTTATAAATTATCCATGGCTAATTTGTAATATGTTCCCATGTGTATTGTGCATTCTATCTTTGTAGTTTGTCAGCAAACGTACCTAGTAGCGGCTTATCGCGCGAGCTTTGACAGTGACGTCTGTGTACTGCGCTTGATATGATTTGATATTAAATGCTATATAATAAAATAATTTAAAATTTCATTCTATTTTTTTTCAAAAATCTAATTAAGCCAAATTATTTAAAAATTATAAACACCTATGACATTTAAATTAAATGTATGTATGTTTGTGTATGTAATTAACCCCTTTTTAACGTGTCAATGCTGGGTACGGGCCTTCCTTTACTACAAGCATCAGGCCATAGGCCATCACGCTGGCCAAGTGTGGGTTGGCGCTAAATTGATTCCGAGAAACACAAATAGGGTGGTAACTTAAGATGGGTTGTAAGGGGATGTGTACTATAAGGACGGTACTGAAGATTAAATAGTAAAATGTATTTATAATATTTCACATCTATACATATTATGTATAATATAACTAAAACTGAGTCGAATATGTATATTAAATATTTTTTGGAAAATCTTATTGAAATAGTCTTTACATTATATACAGATATTTTTGTCTGTCTGTCTGTCAGTCTATCTGGGAACGCGTCACGAGAAAACCACAGGACAGATTTTGATGAAATTTGGTATAATGATAGCTGGTTATCCGGGTCAAAATATAGATACTTTTTACTGCAGAAAATATTGATTTAAATAAAAATCAATCTTTGGTTAAACCAAATCACTAAATCCATACTCATATTATAAATGTGAAGATTTGTGAGGATGGATGGATGGAATGATGTTTGTTGCTCTTTCACGCCAGAACGATTAAACGGATTTGGATGAAATTAGGCACAGAGATAGTTTACAGTCTGGAGTGGGACAGAAGATATTTTTATCCTGGAAAATGTAAGGTTCCCGTGGGATAGACTTGTTTTTATCTAGGGACGAAGCCGAAGCAAAGCTAGGGTGAATCACTAATTAATTAATAATAGTCTAATTTTAATCATACAAATATCAAATAAATCAATCGCATTACACAGATTTCAAATCTAGAATGATTTGTAATTGGTTCATACCGCAAAGTGGCTAGTTCCCGTTTACACTTTACAGTCCGGTTACTATAGGAAGGGCACTTTAGTAGATTATCACATGAACACATCTACATTACATTTTTATATGTAGATATATATTACGAGTAAACTATTAGGAAAACGCTATTTTCTTAAGAAGTCTTTTTGTAAATATTGCCTGAAATAAATGATTAAATAAATAAATAAAATAAAAAAAATAATTTCCAGTTATTTATTTTTTTCTCCTCTGTCAAGCGATTTTCTTTTTTCTTCTTCATCTATCGATGAGCATTAGTTTATCAATAAAAAAAATGGAAACATTTTTTTTTATAAAGATAAGTAAATTATATTCATATATTATGTCTACGATAAATTATATTCATATATTATGTCTATGAATTCCAATCACAAGGGGAACACTAGTAACAAAAAAGGAGGCACAGGACTGATTTTGATAGAATCCAAATATTCGTTTTTTTCTAAAATTAAAGTATTCTAAGTTACTCTTTATAATATCAGGCATCTGTCAGTGAACGTCCCGTCAAAATCGGTCCAGCCATTTCAGAGATTAGCCGAAACAAACAGACAGATATTTAAAAAATTGTTTTTTGTTCCTTATTAGTACCCTATTTAATTTCATATGCATATAGTAAAAAACTGTTATTTCAACATTACAAACAGACACTTCAACTTTATTTATATGTATACTTAGATAATTTAATATCATCAAGCTGATCTTATATTAGAGTAAGAAGGTGGAATCAATAATGGCTACTAGATGGACCATCAATTTTTGATTAATTAACATAAGTGATTAAAGAGTAGGTCGATAGCATGTTCTCCAAAAATGTATTTTTAATTATTTTTTTTGTAACCAACCCTTGACAGAAAAACAATGAGTCATCTTATACATATAATAAAATTGTAACTAAGCCGAATCTGTACATTACATATTTTTTAAAAATTCTTATTGGAATAAACATTATTATCGATACAGAGGCCGAATCTACAGTTTTTAAAAATTTTGTCTGTCTGTCTGTCTGTCTGTTACCGCATCACAGAAAACCCACTGGAGGGGTTTTGATGAAATTTTGTATGGTGATAGCTGGTTATCCGGGTCAACATATAGGATACTATTTACCGCAGGAAAATGTCTCATTTCTGAGAAAAAATACAAAAACTACAATTTAAGAGTATACTAATATGTAAAACCTAAGAATTTGGTGTTTGGTCATCTAAACGCGGGCGGAGCCGCGGACAATGCTAGTATATTATAATATTACTGCTTTATAAATTTATATAATGTAATTAAAGACCCATAAGTATTTAAAATTATTTGTGTTATCATCATATTAAATAATATGCACAATCTATGATTTAACAAGGTAGGTCAGCGTTACCTAATTGCCTATATATCGCGGTTTTATTGAAAATTATGAGCTTTAATATAAATTCAATTTGCGACTAAATATGGCAGGAAACATTTTATGTCAAACAAAATTCAATTAATCTTCTCGTTAAAGTTTGTATTGTATGAAAATTCATTATTTGATGGTGCTAATGGAAATAATATCGAGTTACGATTTTACAAAAGCAGTCAAATTTTCATAATTAATACAAATGATTAGGTTTGGATTTTAACAAACTTAGTGTAAAGAAAAGCAGTAGAGAAATAAAAACATTTAGGAGTAGAATATGACCCTCATTTGGCTCATTTACGTCCTTCTAGTCTTCTAGTCCGTCCTAGACCTTTTGTATTTATAATATGACTTGCAAATTACCCTTACTTCGTTCGCGTTCTAGGTACGTTTTAACTATTAATATGGAAATATATGTATATAGGTATGATAAGTTTTTAGATTTCTTGAGAAATGGTTTATTTCTCATACAAATTTCCACTTGCCTTTTTACCCTCTTAAGGGATGATTTCCGGAATAAAAACTATCCTCTATCCTTCTCAAGGTCTCAAACTATCTCTACACTAAATTTAATCTAAATCGGTTCGGCGGATTAAACGTGGAAAGGTAACAGACAGAGTTACTTTTCTATTTATAATATTAGTATCGATACATATACATAAATAGCT